TTCAAGTTTGAGAAGCTCTGGTCTGGGCTACTCTTTCAAGGAGTTTGTCAATGGTAGGGAAGAGGCTGAAAGCCAGTGGGAGAGTGAGAGATTGGAAATGTAAGAGAGAGAATACTAAGGGAAAAAGGCCTAGTGGAAAGGGGAGAGGTCGAGAGAACTGATTAACCTGGGAAAAGAGAAGGGACTCTTCCTTTATTTAGAAAGATGGAAAAGAAGAATGGAAGAGGAAGGGTGAAACTACAGGCTGATAACTGAGAAATCTTTGTAGGCAGATGACCCACTTCTTCCCAATAAAACTGATGTTGAGATCAACCCTTGCGAAGGAGAAAGAGGTTTTAGCCCATCCAATATTCCACAGTTTGGAATTCCTCTTGATAATTCACAGGGTTCTAATTTAAATTATATTTACCTTTGGTCAGTATATCTTTGCATTGTTTTCTATAAGTTCTTTAAACAAGTATATATCGATGTGTAAAAATACTAAATGATATAATGACCATTTATAAGAAAACATCTGCATTTCTGCAGGTAGCTTGGTAAGTTTAGTAATTCAAGCTATGAACTTCATCGAGGGCAACATTGTGTAGCTTGCTGACACTTTAAGTCAAATAAATATGGCTGCAAAAATGTATTAAAACTTGGAAGAACAAAAAACAATTTTTAAATCTTTACCTACAGTTTTTCTGTCTGCAAAGTTTGCTAAATCAATAAGATGATCTGAAAAGTTCATCTTACAGTCAGATATATTACTGATTTGTTTCATTGGTTTTCTGATGACCATTTATTATGAGGTACAGCATCTTCAAAATGAATGGTGGAAATCAAAAGCTTGATAGTTTTGCCTTTTATATAAACTAAAGATTTGATTTCTAAGACACAAATGAACAAACCACTATGGCCTGTCATGTTTTCCTGGTTTCTAATTTATTCAACCTCTGCTCAGTATTGACCCTGACAAGCAGAATGTCCCAAAGATAAATTTATTCACTCCACAGTTTCGTCAGGAACAAGCCAAAAATTATAGATTTTCCCAGGCAGATGATGACAGGCAGTCAGGGGGATGACAAATGGCTGTCTTTAGATGTAGTTAGGACAGTTGGGCCAGACGTTTCCAATAAAGATTGGAGCATGCTGGTCAAATACAGGTTCATCAGTGGTCATCATTAATTGTGGAGAAGGTATTGCCAGTGCTGCGGATGCCTGCAAAGGCACTTAGGCACCAATCCTGAATGGGAAATAGAATCGGTTCCTCAGTATTTTGCAGCACTCCTCTAAGTGATAGTATGACATGATCATTTATCAAACAGAGACTGTCCAGAAAAGTGTCTGGTCCCTTTAGTTAACTTATTGATGGGCAGAGAAGTGAAAGCATTTTATTAAAGACAGGAAGGCAATGAACAACCAGAGCGTATCCAAAGGGTAATCGTATTTCAGCACAGGATTAGTTTAGTCTTAAATAAACATACACTGGAGGGAGTATGCTGAGGGTCATTTATCAAGTGAGGAACAATTAACAGAACTCCACAGGACTCTTTTCATCTATATAAATTTAAAGTTCTCTTATTATTATTATTTAACTCTTGGATAACAGGCATTGCATTCAGCACTGTACAAAAATGTAATGTACAATCCCTTAAAGGTTTTTAGAGTAAGAAAAAATTCAGTGAAATTCTCACATAAATAATTATGCCTCTGATAACCACTGTTGTACAAATGCTAAGAAGGCACGATCCAAGGCCCAGGACTGAGGGCTGAAGTTTATAATTTTGAAGAGAGCTTTCTTGTAAGAACCCAGCTACTTGTTTTTCAGTGGGTCAGAAGCTTATTCTTTCCTATTTACAACAATATTTGTTCTTTATTAACAAAAATTAAGAGAAGGAGAATTAACTGAGGGGTAGCAGGTAGGCAAAGAGGCAGAGAACACACTGATTACTTATCTGGTTTGTTCCAGGAACTATATATGTCATGGCATCCAACCCTAACTATCCAGACTTTGTAAATGAGGACATTGAGGCCTAAGGTCCCATAGTAAATGGCAGTGCCAGGAAGTTTGGATTGCCTGTATTTAAAAAAAAAAAAAAATTTACATTGTCACAAAAACTGTTTCCTTGGATCTCTTAGAAACCAGTATATACTTTATGATCAGTAAGTATTTTGATAAATAATGGGGTAGGCAAAATGGGATTTCCCAGGAAGAGGTTAGTCAGGAAGGTGAAGGGACCTAGCAGGTGTTGTGCAGGAGGTCCTAGACACACAGCTGTGCTTGTAGTTATACCCCAAGGGTAGAGTTCCGTCATGTAGGTACAGGTGCACAACTGAAGTTCCGGCTTTTCACTTCTCTGTTATGACAGTTTTGTGGAGATTTAATGTACGGAAAAGAATTGCTGTCAAAGCTTCATAGTGAAAAATGCTTGTCTAAAATTTAAAGTATAAATACAATCTTACCATCAGAGAAATTTTCAAAAATGGAAAAAATGCAGTATCTTAGTGATAAACACAAGGAGACTAAATAACCACCACTCGTCTGTCAGTTTCTCATACTGTGGTGGCTTACATGTTGCTGTGAAGCTGGAGGCTATGCCACCAGTATTCCAAATACTAGCAAGGCCACCCAAGGTGGACAGGTCTCAGCAGAGCTTCCAGACTAAGACAGACTTGGGGAAAAAGAAAGGAGCCATCCACTTCTCAAAGTATTGGCCAGTGAAATACTGTCTGATATATTCCTGGAAAACTATGAATAGCCCTGAAATATTGTCTGATCTCTGGTGGCATAGTGCCTAAGGCATTTGACTGCTAACCAGAAAGCTGGGGGTTCAAACCAACCAGCCACTCTTCAATCAGGCAATGTACTTCCATAGTGATACTGCCTGGGAAACCCAAGGAGGGGTCACTATGAGTTGGATCCAACTTGACAGCAGTGAAAGTATAAGATAGTGCCAGAAAATGAGACCCTCAGGTCAGAAGGCATTCAAAATATGACTAGGGAAGAGCTGGCTCCTCAAAGTAGAGTTGACCTTAATGACGTGGATGGAGTAAAGCTTTCGGAACCACCACTTGCTGATGTGGCACAACTCAACATGGGAAGAAACAGCTGCAAACATCCATTAATAATTGGAACATGGAATGTACGAAGTATGAATCTAGGAAAATTAGAAGTTGTCAAAATTAAATGGAACACATAAAGACCTATGTCTTCAGCATTAGTGAGCTGAAATGGACTGGTTTTGGCCATTTTGAATCAGACAATATATAGTCTACTGTGCCGGGAATGACAGATTGAAGAAAAATGGTTTAGCATTCATCATCACAAAAAATGTTTCAAGATCTATCCTGAAGTACAGTGCTGTCAGTGATAGGATAATATCCACACAACTACAAGGAAGACCAGTCGATGCTACTATTATTCAAATTTATGCACCAACTACCAAAGCCAAAGATGAGGAAATTGAAGAGTTTTACCAACTTCTGCAGTCTGAAATTGACCAAGCATGCAATCAAGATGTATTGATTATTACTGGTGATTAGAATGTGAAAGTTGGGAACAAAGAAGAATCACTGGTATTTGGAAAATATGGCCTTGGTGATAGACATGATACTGGGGATTACATGATAGAATTATTAAGACCAACAACTTAATCATTGCAAACCTTTTTTCAACAACATAAGTGGTGGGTATACATGTAGACTTTGCCAGATGGAATACACAGGAATCATATTGACTATGTCTGTGGAAAGAGGTGATGGAGAAGCTCAATATCTTCAACCGAAACAAGGCCAGGAGCTGATTGTGGACCATCACCTGCTCATATGCAAATTTTTTCTCCTTTCTTCTATTTTCCCTTTGAGATATATATATATATATATATATATATATATATATATATATGCATTCTATAAAATGCAAGCAACAATATATAATGTTTGCAATGCCAGTGGCCTGCTTACTACTCCTTAATTGCCTTCATCTGGAAACTTCCAGGAGCTCCACTGAGAAGAGAGCATCCCCTGCAGATTGGGGAGGGAGGGTTGTTTTCTGAGCTTCAGGTTGGATCCATTTAAGGAAGCGTGAGATAGAACATTTCTGTGGCCACCAACTTAGGACCTCATCTTTTCCCTCATTTTTAGCCCCCTCTATTACCAGTACAGGAGCTCTAACAGCACAGTAGGTAAGCGCTCAGCTGCTAACTGACAGGTAGGCGGATCAAGCCCACCAGCTGCTCTTTAGCAGAAAGCTGTGGCAGTGTGCTACCTTATAATCTTTATAGATTACAGCCTTGGGGACCCAATGAGGCACATTTACTTTGTTTTATAGGGTCGCTATGAGTCAGAATCAACCAAATCACAATGTTTGGGGTTTCTATTATTATCACCAGTAAAAAGATCCTGGTGGTGCAATGGTTGAGTGTTCAGTTACTAACCGAAAAGTTGGCAGATCAAACCCATCATCTGCTCCAAAAGAGAAAAGACCTGGCAATCTGTTTCCATAAAGATTGTAGCCTAGGAAACCCTATGGTGCAGTTCTACATGATCATATAGGATCTCTGAGTCAAAATTGACATGACAGCCCACTACTACCAGCACCACCACCACCACAACAACAACAATTATTAGTATACACCCTGAGTGGTGCAAATGGTTAATTTGCCTGCTAATTGAAAGGTTAGAGGTTCAAGTCCACCCAGAGACATCTCAGAAGAAAGGCCTGGTGATCTATTTCTGAAAAGTCAGCCATTGCAAATGCTATGGAGCACAATTTATTCTGATACACATGGGGTCAGCCTGAGTCAGTTAACAGTTAACTTCAGTTAATGACAACTAGAAAATTAGCAGTTTACATCATTTTATCTAAAAAAATAATTATTGTGTGCCTTCTCAATACCTGGTACTGAGCTAGAACTCCACAAAAAGCAGTATAACATTTAAATACAGTTAACTGGCATGCTAGAAATACTGGTAATTATGAAATATTTATTATGTCTAACTTTTCTTCTGTAATACAGGATTTGGAATTTTTACTGAGCAAGTTGATGAAGCTATGGAAAATGGATCTAAATGGAAATCCTGTTTGTCTCAAACCAAAATACAGGGACAGACTGATTTTGGTGTCCAATTCACTGGGTACATGTTTATGTTATATTAATATCATTTTCCTAGAGAAAGCAATCTGATTTATTTTTTACTAATATCAGAAATATAAATATGAGATCTATGTCTATGAAAATGGTGAACTTTAAATTTGATGTTTTGAATTTGAGCAAAAGTTAAAATTGAGAAATAAGGCATGAAAAGTGTCTACTTTTCAGAAATAGTTAAAGTACCAGATATCCTTTTTTTGAAAAGAAAATGGGCTGTTACCACTAAAAATTACTAGTTGTAAATGGGTAGAACTTGCTGTCCAAACTTCCATTGGTACAAATCCTCTGAAGATCCTTGTAAACTTGAGAGACTCCTTATTGGTAATGTAGCTAAAATTGATCAAGGTTTTTCATTGTGTCATGGATTTAATTATATCTGTTACAGCAGCACTGGATAACTAAGACAGGATTTGGTATCAGAAGAGTGGGATGCTACTCTAACAAATACCTAAAATGTGGAAATGGTTTTGGAATTGGGTAATGAGTAGAGACGGTAAAATCCTAGATTTCCTTGAAGAGACTGTTGGTAGAATTACGGATGTCAAGGGCAATTCTGCTGAGAGCTCAGAATGAAGTGAGGAGAGACATAGAGAAAGTCTCTATCATCTTGTTGTTGTTGTTGTTATGTGCCGTGGAGTTGGACTTGACTCATAGCGACCCCTCCTTGGGTTTCCAAGGTGGTATCACTACGGAAGTAGATTGCCCAGCCTTCCTTCTGAGAGAATACATATGGCACTAGCAACAGAATGTTGCTAGAAACATAGAAGTTAAATGTGCTTCTGATGAAGCTTTGAAAGATAATGATGAACAATTTGTCATTGGACAATGGAGGAAAGGCGATGCTTTTTATGCATTGACAAAGAACTTCTCTTATATATGTTCAAATGTTTGGTGAAAGGTTGAACGTGTAAGCAATGACCTTGGACATTTGGCTGAGGAGATTTCTTAGCAAGATCTTAAATGGACTGCATGGTTTCTCCCTGCTGCTTATAGTAAAATCCAAGAGGAAAGCGATGGACTTAAAAATGAACTGTGCAAAATGAAAACAAAAATTTGGAAAATTTGGTTGTACAAACTTAGAACCTAGAATTTTCACCAAGGACAGGGCCACCCAATACTTTGTTAAAGAGATTAAGGCTGTGACTGATGGGTCTAATCAACTTTCATAGCAGAAAACCCATCAGCTTAGACTAAAGGGGACAGAGAAAGAATGAAAGGAAAGAAAGCTGTTTGCCTCTAGAAATTCTACAGGCAGGAAACAGGCCAAAGGAGCTATATCTGTTGTTCTTCAGGAAAAGAAAAGGACCATCTCTGGAGCAGCTTAAAGATCAGCACAACTGTTGGAAGGAGCAGGGAAAGCAGGGACTTGTTGAGGGTCTTTCCCTTTTTCACTGACCCTCTACTTTACCAAGCATTATATTATCCTTCTCCTGGGACTGGTCCCTTCTGACAACATGACCAAAGTACATGAGACAAAGTCAGGCCATTCTTGCTTCTAAGGAGCATTCTGGCTGCACTTCTTCCCAAGACAGATTTGTTTGTTCTTCTGGGAGTCCACGGTATTTTCAGTATTCTTCGCCAATACCACAATTCAAAGGCATCAGTTCTTCAGTCTTCCTTTTTTTCTTGTCCACCTTTCACATGCATATGAGATGAACGAAAAGACCAGGGCTTGAGTCAGGCACACTTTACTCTTCAAAGTGACATCTTCGCTCTTAAACACTTTAAAGAGGTCTCTAGCAGCAAATTTACCCAGCGAAATATGACATCTGATTTCTTGACTGCTGCTTCCATGGTTAGATTCCATGATTATGGATCCAAGTAAAATGAAATCCCTGCATCATTTCTTCCATTTGCTTTAGTTACTCTCCTTTCAAGAGCAAGTTTCAAAGTCTCTTCTACATCTTTTGACTTTCTGACGGCTTCAATCTTTTCTCCGTTTATCTTGATGTTTCTTATTGGTCCATTTGTAAGGATTTTAGGTTACTTTATGTTGAGGTATAATCCATACTGAAGGTTATAGTCTTTTATCTTCATCAGTAAATGCTTCAGGTCATCTTCACTTTCAGGGAGCAAGGTTGTATCATCTGTATATTGCAGGTTGTTAGTGAGTCTTCCTTCAATCCTGATGCCACATTCTTCTTCATATAGTCCAACTTCTCAAATCATTTGCTCAGCATACAGATTGAATAAGTATGGTGAAAGGATACAACTCTGATGTTCACCCTTCCTGATTTTTAACCAGTATCCTCTTGTTCTGTTTGAATGACTGCCTCTTGGTCTGTGTACCGGTTCCTCGTGAGCACAATTAAATGTTCTGGAATTCCCATTCCTTGCAGTGCTATCCATAATTTGTTATGATCTACACAGTCAAATGTCTTCACATAGTCTATAAAACACAAGTAAAGATCTTTCTGGGATTCTGCTTTCAGCTAAGATCCATCTGACACCAGCAGTGATATTCCTCATTCCACTTCCTCATCTGAATCCAGTTTGAATTTTTGGCAGTACCCTGCCAATATACAGCTGCAAATATTTTAAAATTATATTCAGCAGAATTTTACTTGTGTGTGACATTAATGATACTGTTCAAGAATTTCTGCATTTTGCTGGATCACCTTTCTTTTGAATGGGCACAAATATGCATCTCTTTCAGTCAGTTGGTCAGATAGCTGTCATCCAGTTTCTTGGTATAAAAAAGTAAGCACCTCTAGAGCTGCATTTGTTTTGTTGAAACATCTCGATGGGTATTCCATTAGTTCCTGGGGCCTTGTTTTGCTCCAGTTCCTTCAGTGCAGCTTAGACTTTTTCCTTCAATACCATGGGTCCTTAATCATATGGTACCTTGGTCGTTAGATGGGTCTCTCCTCATCCAGAGCAAAGAATAATGAAGAAAACAAAAGATTCGTGGAAACAATTAGTCCTAGCAACTGGTACACCATGCGATCTGCAGCCTATACAACTATGAGATCAAAAGAACTAGATGGTGCCCAGCTACCACTGTCAACCACTCAGAGGGGGATCTATGTAGGAGATCCTGGATAGAGAGGGAGAACAATGTGGAACAAAATTCAAAATCATTTGGGGAAAAAAAAGGGGGACCAGGTTTGCTGGTCTGATAGAGTCTGGTGGAACCACTGAGACTATGGTCCCTAGCTGCCCTTCAGGTCTGGAATTGAACCCACACCTGTGGCTTCCAGCCAAACGAAAGACAGGTATATGAGTTGAACATTTACCTGAGGTAGATACACTCCTTGGAGAGAACAATCATGGGAGCAAAAAGGGCTGTTTACGCACAGGGAGACAGTTCAGGGGGCAGAAGTACATGGAGGGATGGACACAGGGAAGAGGTGACTGTCAGGAGGAAGTGGGAGGGGAGCTGTTGCATTGTGGTGAATTGTGGTCAATGTCATGAGACAAAGTGTATGTGAACTGCTGTATGGAAAGTGAATTTTCTCTGTATATTTTCACCCAAATCACAATTAAAAAAAACCAAAAACCAAAAAACAACGTATTCTACCCCTTTGGGTCTCTAATTCTGAGTCTTTGCACATTTCATTGTAATACTTCAATTTTTTTTCTTGAGCTGCCCTTTGAAATCTTCTATTTAGCTTTTCTTCCTTTCCTGTCTTTTTAATGAGCTTTTGCTTTCTTCATGTATCGTGTTCTTGGTGTCATCCCACAACTGCTCTGGTCTTTGGTATGGTGTCCAGTGCATCAAATCTACTCTTCAGATGGTCTCTAAATTTAGATGGGATATAATCAAGGTTGTATTTTGGCTCTCATGGATTTGTTTTCCATTTCTTCAGCTTCAACTGGAACTTGCATATGAGCAATTGATGGTCTGTTCCACAGTCAGCTCCTGGCTTTATTCTGACTGATGATATTGAGCTTCTCCATTGCCTCTTTTCACAGATGTAGTCGATTTGATTCCTGTGTATTCTATCTGGTGAGGTCCATGTGTATTTTCACTGTTTAGGTTGTTGAAGAAATGTATTTACAGTGAATAAGTTATTGGTTATGCAAAATTCTATCATGTGGTCTGGTTTAGTTTCTTTCACCATGGCCATGTATTCCAACTATGGAAGCTGCTTCTTTGTTTCCAACTTTTGCATTCCAATCACCAGTAATTATTACTACATCTTGATTGCATGTTTGGTCAATTTCAGACTGAAGAAGTTGGTAAAAATCTTCAATTTCTTCATCTTTGGCTTTAGTGATTGGTGGATAAATTTGAATAATAGTAGTATTATTGATCTTCCTTGTTAAAAAAAAAAAAAAAACCTCACTACCATCGAGTCAGATCTGACTCATAGTGACCCCTCCTTGGGTTTCCAAGGTGGGATTTCTATGGAAGTAGATTGCCCAGTCTTCCTTCCGAGGAGTGGCTGGTGGCTTTGAACCACCAGCCTTTCGGTTAGCAGTCAAATGCCTTAGGCATTATCACTAATAGCATTGTAAAGACTTTGTGGCATAGTGGATAAGGCACTTGACTGCTAACTAGAAGGTCGGCAGTTCAAATCCACAAGATGCTCCATGGAAAGAAGATGGGGCAATCTACTTCCTTAAAGATTTAAAACCTTGGAAATCCAATGGGGGTTGCTATGAGTCAGAAACAACTCAACGGCAGTGAGTTTAAGGTTTTTTTTTTGGACAGCAATGTATTTTGGGAATGTTCTTTTTAATGATGAACACAACTCCATTACTTTTTAATTTGTCATTGACACCACAATAGACCATATGATTATCTGGTTCGAAATGGCTAATCCCAGTCCATTTCTGCTCACTAATACCTAGGATGTTGATTTTTATTCATTCCATTTCATTTTTGAAAGTCCCAATTTTCCTAGATCATAATTGGTACAGTCTATGTTCCAATTATTAATGAATGTTTGCAGCTGTTTCTTCTCATTTTGAGTCATACCACACCAGCAAATGAAGTCTCAAAAGCTTTACTCCATCCACCACGCTATTCAGGTCAACTCTACTTTGAGGAGCAGCTCTTCCGCAGTCATATATTGAGTGCCTTTTACAAGGTGAGGGGCTCATCTTCTGGCACTATGTCAGATAATGTTTCACTGCTATTCATTTCATAATGTTTTCCAGTAATAGACAGTGTTTCACTGCTATTCATAAGGTTTTCGATGGCCAATTTTTGTCAGAAGTAGTTGTCCCTGTTCTTCTAGCACTAGATAGCAGCACTAGATAACACTGCCATATAGTACTCTAAGAATATCCAAAAGTCCCTCTTATTTGAAAGAGGAGCAGGGTGGAGAGTACTTTAATGAAATTCTCACAAATAATAACATTCCTGAACATGCATTATGCTGGAGGAAATGGCCCAGAGCATTTCATTATGGACCAGGTTACCCAGCATCAGAGAGACCACTGAGAGGGTTTCCTGTGTAGGAATTCTGTGATATGCTGTATTTGTTTGTAAAAATTAATGTATTACAGTGTACACTAATGTATTACAAAAGCACAAGTCCATAGCTTGATTAATCATAATGCTAATGCAGAGGTTCTCTGTGGGGGAAGGCATATTGGGATAATCCAAGACGTTTTTTCCAAATAGATATTGGCCTGCTTACCCTTGGCCAACAGTAGAGAACAGAAAGTACACAGAGTGAGCAGTCATACATATATTTTTTAAAGCTCCTCAGATTATTCTACTATACACCCCCCAACTCTCCATTGCTTCCTCTCCTCACCACTACACACAATTGTATTACTCTACTTTCCATAGTAAGCAAAGTGAATTCAATTGAAGTTTGACAAATGGGAGCCTTCCAGTGCTCATAGGACCATTTCTAGAAATATTTTTCTTGATATAGTACTGTAGGTAAGGTATAAAATATGTAAGAGATAAGTATACTGATTTCTAAATAAAGGTTTATTTTTAGATAAATTTTGTTTTTAATAAATCCTCTTTTCTTTAGGACACTTTATTATAGGAAATTACAGAAAATATAAAAAAGAAGAAAATAAATATAACCAATAATCTCATCATAAATCCACTGTTAACACTTACAGTCTTTTTTCTATATATATTGGAAGAAAGACTGGCCATCTGACTCCTTAAAAATTACAGCCAAGACAACCCTATGGTGCAGTTCTACTCTGTAACACATACGTTGTCATGAGTGGGACTAGTAACAGTTTTGGTTTCTTTTTTTGTTTGTTTGTTTGTTTTAATATACACATATAATAATTTCTCTTTGATTTTAACTTGTCTTATTCTCATTTCCTTCTTCTTCCTAAATGCAAAACCAAGAAAACAAAGATAATCGACAGTCTGGCTTGATGTGTTCCAGGAAGAAGGGCTATGGGGATGCTTGGCAGCCATTTTATGTTTTATAACCTACCTAGACTTCACCAGCTTCAATGACAATCTATACATTTGGTTTACTGAGCATGAGTGGAAGCAAATTCTGCATTGAAAGCAACACTGTAAATTTCTTAAGTCTCTGATCTTGTGCCCATTCCCATGCTTCTCCTCCTGAACCACTTCCACACTTCCAAGTTCAATACCTTAATAACCTCAAACAAGGACAGTTTCTAAAAACTAGAAGGAATCATATTGACTGAAGCACAGGTCTCTAGGTCATTCCTCAACTGTGTCTGGGAGATTTACATGAGGAAGAAGACAGGACATTGATAAAAGACTTGGATTTTTTTATACCTTTTCATTATAAAAGATGTATTAAAAACCCACCAGCCACTCCTCAGAAGGAAGATGGGGCAATCTACTTCCGTAGGGATACTACTTAGGGAACCCAAGGAGGGGTCGCTATGAGTCGGGTCTGACTCAATGGCACATAACAAGAACAAAAACAATAATTGCTCAAATCCCACACATAGACTAACAAATTACACAATTATTTATACAAACAAATTTGAAAAGACACCAATAAATATAAGTGGTTGGGAAACTTGGGCATTTCTTTCTTTTAAGAAACTATCTTTAATGTAAAGTTATACATACTAAGATGTTTGATGACAAAACATTTACCTAATTTCTTAAATTATACTTTGGAGAGTGCTGTTTTTCAGCTTAAAAAGTACATGAGGCAAGATATGTAGACAATCATAATTATGGAGTTTATACTTCTAGTTTATATTTCCAGTTTCATTGTTTTATTTTGTACTTTGACTGTAACACTATATTATGGGTCTTACTTAAGTGGTGATGTTAATACTTTCAGTAGTACAAAAAGTATTTTATCAGAATATTTTCATTTTCCTTGTAAGAGTGTGACCTAATACATTTTACTACTTCCTCTTTATATTCTGAGATCGGGGAAGACAGCACATGGATTATGAGAGAAAGTATTTATGTAATTTTTAAAAAAGTGCTATAGATATCTTTTTATTAAATGAAAGTCATCTGTATGACACACAAGTCCATAGCTTTAAAAAGTGCTATAGATATCTTTTTATTAAATGAAAGTCATCTGTATGCCACACAAGTCCATAGCTTGATTAATCATAATGCTAATGCAGAGGTTCTCTGTGGGGGAAGGCATATTGGGATAATCCAAGATGTTTTTTCCAAATAGATATTGGCCTGCTTGCCCTTGGCCAACAGTAGAGAACAGAAAGTACACAGAGTGAGCAGTGTACTCACTGCTCAGATATCTTTTTATTAAATGAAAGTCATCTGTATTAATGTGATTAAAAAGGTAACAAAGGTGTCCTACAACAAAGGAATAATTAAATATTTTATTGTATATACATATGTAATGGAACACTGTTAAGTATTAGAAATTGTGTTCAAAGTAACACATGGTAAAATGGTCAAACAGTATTAAAAAGTGGATGTAAAACTGTATAAATAGAGAATTCTAATTTTATAGTTCACACATACATAAAAACACACATAGAAAACAAACACACAGAAAAAAAAAAAAGTAAGAAATAGACCAAAGTCTCACCATTGGTTTTCATCGATTATTTCTGTTTGTTAGAACACAGGCAATTTTTCTTTTTCTTTTTTTTTGTATTTTCCATATATCTTACAACATATAAAAATTATTTGTCTCATTTAAAAACTCGACTTGTAAAACATTTTTAAAGATTCTGAAATCTTACTTCATAGAATCAACAGGCCTGGTATCTGGGTTGTTCTTGTTTTATGTCCTAGGATGTTACGTTAATAATGTTATACCTGCTTTAAAATATCATGTTATATATATATATATATATATATATATATATATATATATATATATATATATATATAATTCTTATTCACCTTACCATAAAATATATTTTGGTTTTTCCTAAGAAAAGTAATCACGGTATTATATAAATCAGTAGATTATATGATTTCATTTTTGCTAAGTATGACAAAATTTTTGGTTTTAAAAATAACAATATAATTTACATATGACCTTATAGGAAGATCATATACCAAATTGTTTTAAGTGATTATCTTTGGCAGTAGCAGGAAGAGGGGTGTGGATAGTAATTACAGAATCTTTCATTTTTTGGTTTTTTTATTTAAAAAAAAAAAGTTCCAGTTGTTTATTATGAACACTCTTCTTTTTGAAATCAGAAAAAAAGAGATGTCTAAAAAAATCAGTAAAACCTCCCCAAAAAAGGTGTAAGTTGTGTAAATAAAATATTTAGAAAAGAAATTTATCTCAACGGTGTAACTTAAGTTTATGTGTCCAAAACAGAAAAATATGTATTTTTACCTATATACTTATTTATATTATATATTTTTAACATATGTGTTTTTCTCTAGAATTTCTTGATGGAAAAGAAATTAAAAAAGTGGAAAGACAATTCCTAATGAATTGGAAAGCATCCAAAGATGCCAAGAAAATCTGCAAGAAAAGAAACATTAAAAGCAATGATGCAAGCAACTCATACTTAAGTAAGCACACTGGCATTCATTAGCTGACCATTTCTACTAGGAAAAGGGAACATTCTCCCCAACAAAAGAATAATACCAAGAAATAAGAAGTTTTTACTTAGTTTTTGTTTATTTATTTACTTACTTACTTAATTATGCATAAAGATAAATATAATTCCTTGGAAATTTTATCTATAAAGTTTACATAAGAAAATGGTCATCACTATTAACAAAAGCCTTGTTTTGTTCATGTTGGGTATGACTGTCAGACATGTATCTTAAGCCTAAAGCCATGAGAATGGGGAGGAAATATTAATTTTGTATCTGGAAAAAGTACATAGTAATGTAAACTGTGAAATCTAATTCACATACTAGCGTTTAGAAACAATACAAAAATCACATCTTTCATTCTGGGTCCAAGGTGGAAGACTAGGCAGACACACTACCCAGACCCTTTACAACAAAGGCTTACAAAAACAAGGGAAACAACTATGGATAACTATCCTGGATACCAGAGCTTCAAAGGAAGGATAAAGAAGTAGAGGAAGAGACAAATGAAAACAGTGGACAAGAGTAGTAAACTGCTAACTGGCACAGTGCAGCCATTTTGAATTATGGCAAGTAATATTCTGATGACAGCAGGAACCAGAACTGCACCAGCACCCACACTGGTGATCAGGCAACAAGAGTGCAGTTGAGAGCCAGGGACCCTACCCAACCATATCCAACCACCTGCTGCCCCACCCACTGGGCAGGTGTCACCACCCACTCTAGCACTACTGCACCAACAACAGAAAGCAGCCAACAACCACCCAGCCTGCCATCAGCTGTTCTGCATGATCAGTGATCAGAGTCTCATACCCATACTCCCACCTGCACCAAATCTGCCCAGAGACAGGTGGTGAGTGCCATAGTTCTGCCAAAGTAGTGACCAGAATAACACGACCACCTTATTGCCTGGATATATTAAAACAGGACAAAACAAAAAATCAGAGTGAAGCAAAATAATATATAATCAACAAATTAATACAATAACACTACCACGTCTTAGAGACAACAGGCAACTTCAAATCACACACAGAAATAGGACATGATGCCTCAAACAGGAGTGAAAAGTACAGGGCCAGAAAATCTTCTGGAGGAAGATATGCTAGTGGAATTGTTGGTAAGTAATTCAAAATAATTCTATTTAGATTCTTTCAAGAGATTGAGAGAAAGCTTCAGGAAACCACAGACAAAATCAAAGAAAACACAGATAAAACTCTAGAAGAATTTAAAAAAATAATACAGGAACAAATTGACAACATAAATGGAAAATTAGAAACCACACAAAAGCAGCAAATAGAAATCCAAAAGATTAATACTAAAATTTCAGAAGTGGATAGTGCATTGGAAGGACAAAGGAGTAGAACATAGAATTAGTGAAATCAAAGACAAATTATTCAACGCCAATGTATTGGAGGAACAATCAGTAAAAAGAATTAAACAAAATGAACAAGGTTAAGATTCATTTGGGACATCATGAAGAGCAATAACTTACAAATGATTAGAATTTCAGAACAAGAGGAGACAAAAAAAAAAAAAAAAGCACTGAGAAAATCGTCAAAGATTTGTTGGAAGAAAACTTCCCTAATATGAAAGACAAGAAGATATGCATTCAAGATGCTCAGTGAATCACAAATAGAATAGACACTCAAAGAAAATCAGCAAAATCAAACTTTACAAAATCAAAGATAAAGAATCTTGAAGCAGCTCCAAAACAAACCAAACTCAATGCTGTCAAGTTGGTTGCGACTCATAGCAACCCCTCCTTGGGTTTCTGAGGTAGTATCACTACGGAAGTAAATTGCCCAATCCTCCCTCTGAGGAGTGGCTGGTGGGTTTGAACCTCCAGCTTTCTGGTTAGCAGTGAAATGCCTTAGGCACTATGCCACCAGAGCTCCTGAGAGCAGCTCAGGAAAAATAAAAAATCACCTGCAAAGGAGAACTAAGACTAAGGTCTGATTTCTTGATGGAAGCCATGCAGGCAAGGAGGCAATGGGATGGCATATATAAAATACTGAAAGAAAAAAATTGCCAACTGGGACTTATATATCCAGCAAAACTGTTTTCCAAATACAATGGTGAAATTAGGACATTGTCAGATAAACAGAAATTAAGAGAATTGGCAAAAACCAAATCAACCTTATAAGAAACATTAAAGGGAGTCCACCAGACATATAACCACAAATGGTGGACAACAACCAGAGGCTAAGGTATATAGCAACATCACCTGAAAATCAACGCAGAAATAGAAGTATCAAAAATAACATAAACCTAAGATAGCTATGGGTTGGGAGTGCATGGGAGGGTAGGACACAGGGAAGAGGTAACTGTGGGGAGGAAGTGGCAAGAGAGGTGTAACATTGTGAGGAATTACAGTCAATGTCATGAAACAAAATGTGTATGAACTGCTGAATGGAAAATGAATTTTTCTCTGTAAACTTTCCCCCAAATCACAATAAAAA